ACCTGAACTAGGAGTATCCCTCACCTGGACTAGGAGTATCCCTTACCTGGACTAGGAGTATCCCTTACCTGAACTAGGAGTGTCCCTTATTTAGTTTCAGCAGTCGAGTTCATTCTAGTCTTTACTATCTTTTATTTCCACTTCAAATATACTTTTTACAGCGACTCTTTATATTTACTCAACTCTTTACAACTTTTAACGCTTTATATAAACTCAAACCATAAAATACAAGGTAAATCTCTTGAAAACTTAATAAATTGGTCAACATTTCTAAGAGCAACTTAGCTCTTTCCAACAGCAGGAGCAGGCTCACGTTTGCTTCGGACTGCGGAATAGTAGTATGCATAAACTACATATGAATAAAGCACTATTTAAAATCAATATACAAGTGGTTTATCAGAGTAAACAGCCACTCTTTATTTTCTTACATCAAACAAAACCCGCATCGCGTGTTTTTTCAATGATTTTGTGTCAAAATGCCGCTTTTCCGGTTGCTAAGGGCTGTATTGGGTGTCACGATAAATATTTGAACGGCAATGTTCTAGAAAGCAAATCTTTAGCATTATCGAATATCATCTTCACTTCAATTTTAGTTTCACGAAGTTCTAATTAGGATTCACTTGACCGCAGTTTGACATCCGGATTAGTTGTAGCCTGCTTACACGAAAGTTGGAGCAGCCCCTAGAGCTAAAACGGAATCTCCTCTTTCCTTTTTAAGCGTGGCGAGGGTCGCCTTTTCTTTCGCATGAAGATGAAGACTCCGACGAAGGACTCCGTCCGAAACGTCAGTTCCTATTTTCACTACGGTGTAAAACTTATCAATCTACGATAACTGTTTTCTTTCGCATGAAGAGGTTATATTTTCTTTCACGCCAAGTTTATGTAGCCAGTTTACTATCGAACACAAGCACAGCATGTACGTTGAACAGAAAAGAACACCACGGTACTTGAAAGGAGGATGCGGCGATTAAGCGCAAACTTAACTTGCTAATTTAAGACAAACTGTCAAAACGCAGGAAGGTCTCGATGGGGAYTCTCTAGACCAATTAACTCCTTGAGAATCAAATTTTTTTACTTGGAGACAAAGGGATCGTGTTGTACCTCCTTAAAAAATAAACCCGTGAAAGTTGTTTTTGTGATCTTGCGAGAAGTTCCTACTCAAAATGAAGTATGCACTCTCAATCTCGTACCCAGAGCCTTTTTACTGCGCATTCTCGAACATGTTCGAGCATGCGCAGTAAGAAATAAAGGCTCTGGGTACGAGATTGATGCATTCTTGCAAACCACGCAAATCGTTATCGAACAAAAGGTTTATCCATCCAAATTTTGGTCGGAAAATTTGTTGAAACGACAAACTAAATCCAACGGAAAAACCAAACTTGGTCAAATTATAAGCAACATCAATGGCGGGTGACCGAACGGCATATCTCACAGGCTTGTCAAGCATCGAGAAGAAAGCGCTAAAAACGAATCAAGGAAAGCCAAGCTGAAATAGTCCTTATTTTCGAAACCCCATGGAGTTTCTGCCAATTTCCGAGTTTTCTAATTATACAGTGCARCTATTTCACAAAAATAGTGGAAATCTATAGTGTACTATTCTAAAATGTTCGAGGAGACATTACATCGCAAGCATCGACTAGAATTAAGCGCTGTATGGTTTGAATTCTAAAATATTCTCATTTTTTACGTTATTTCTTAATGCTTTGTTAATTCTATTCCCACTCATTTAAAATCTAATCATTTTTTCATTTACCTTCTAAAGATACTTTACTTTTGATKCCTTTCAAATTTCAAAGGTTCAAAAGTCAATGGGTAATATTTCAGCATGTATATTTTGTACACCAGTTCCCATTGGATATTCTGTTAGATTTCCGGTCTTATCCACAGTAATTTTGACCAGTAAGATCTTGTTCTAGTCTTGTTAGTTATTACAGGTTATATTTTTTCTTTTGAAAAACGATAAATCCATAACTCCCATTGAGCTGGGTTCGTTTAGTCCTTGGAACTACTCTCTGCAATTGCTTCTTCTCCTTTTTTTCTCGTTTCAAACTCCTTGACCCTTGGTCGTGACGTTGGTATTTCGCTTTCTCGAACTTCCTTGAATGAAACTCGACGAGCGTGACAAAGGATTGCTGTCACGCATACAGCCCAAACACTTGTTCCCCAAGTCGTAGAAACAAGTGCGACAGTAGATCGACTCACATGTATCTGTTTCGCAATAGACGTATTTCCGATTCAGCCCTCGACCACAGACCATACATTTCCGAAGGCTCACGCCAATCAGTGAAAAGATCGTCTCCATCGTCTGGAAATTCCAAGCAAGAACCCTGACTGTGTCAAGGTGATCCATGGCGTAGTTCTCCTCGTTTTCGACGTGGATGTTATCAATGACAGCTTTAAAGAATGCCTTGCGCTCCTCTAATAGTTTGTAGTAAAGATAAGCAATTCGTTTGCGCTCTCTTCTTCTGTACAATCGTGAAGCAATGTAATGCCGTAGCCGCAAAACATAGGGCTGTATCAGTATCATCAGCAGTAGCAGCCCCAGAAGAACTGATAATACGATAACATAATAATCCTCAAGGGGTAGGACCAATGAAGCGCAGGTCAGCTTGCCAAATACCACGCCAGCTGGCCCTGTACTGTTGGTGGAGTTGGTGTGGCTGTTTTCTGGTTTATCTTCTTTTTCTCTTGCGTTAGACACAACATAATAAAAGTAGTAATCCCCCAGAATGAAGATAAGAGCAAAAGCCAAGAAAATCRAATAGACAATCAAGTACTTGAGCATGTTTTGTTTTTCAGCGGTGGTAAATTGGGGCGACGTAGGCTGAATATACTTTTGATGTTCGCATTTTTTCAGCGGGAGAAGACCATCGCTCGCACCGCTAGTCTTTCTTGTATCTTCAATTGTCTTGAAGTGATTGGTCAAATACTGATTATCAAAGCTGTTTCTTGACAAATAAAGTTTGTGGTAGTCGTATGCTTCGTAAAGGACAAGCAATATCAAGAGAGGCAATAGCAAGGTTAAAACTGATATTAAGTTATCGCATTTTTTACTTGCAGGGGTATAGATGGTTGGTTGTTGTCCAAAGTCGTAGGCTGCAAGGGCCGCCTGATCTGGTAACTTGTCAAGAACCTCTTTGATCTCTTGAACAAACTTTTCACACTTTTTAAAGTCAGCATTTTGACAGGCGATCGACATGTTTGGATCTGACAATGAGGAACAGAAAGTTCCAGGTCTCAAAGGCTGGCAAATGCTCATCATGTGGGGATTAGTAAAGCTTTTTGCGACCTTCTCACAAACAGCCAACTCTGACGCAGCGATAGACTTGCAGTTATTTCTCAGACCATGTAAAAACTCGTAACACAGTTCTCGAGGTGTTGATTCGTTGCGTGACGGGTCCATATCTTGAGCTCGCGTATGTGACAAAGTGTTATTTACCAACTCTTGTAGCTYTCTTGTCGTGTCAATATACTTTTGAAGGAGAGGGTGCCTCACACGAATGTACAGAGGATTCGCTTCAGTGCTATTAGTATCGTTACTTCCCACGCTGGCTATGATTCCACTAGACGCCATGAAGCATTCTCCTCTCGATAAAGCAATAATATGAATGTTCCCAACGAGATTACACACGGGACCAGCCAGGATATAATAACTGATTAAAATCCATAACGCGATCTTGCCACGGGTTGAAAATATACTAGGAAAAATTAAGAGAGTGATACAGAGTAGTCGTTTTCGGTCTAGGAATCCTAGTATCATGCCGAAAACAAGTCCTATTATGATCCCAGACACGACAGCCAGCAATGTCGGTAGTAAAAGAACAGCAACAAACAAAAAGAATATAAATACTGCAGTGAGAATTCCAAGGCATATTCCAGCGATAATTCTCATCTTTGGGTAGCGATCAGATGAAGTTATTCTTGCTTTAGTCTTCTTGACAGCTTTTACAGCACCTTTGATACTTTCGGTTGAGCGACCTTTATTTGAATTTTTTTCGGGCCCATTATTACTTATACTCTCGTAGGAAGCCATGCGGTTGTATGAGCGTCGCTTTGAGTCATCGTTGGCCGCGTTTTTCTCGTCTTCTTGTTTCATARGTGGTTTTTTCTGTTCATTTTCAGTAGGATCAAAGTCGTATTTTCCAGAGGCTCTTTCAGGTGATGATGGCGGCTCTTTGTAATGATCAGGAGCAGCGTAAATGTGGGGTTCATCACATTCTGCACATCCTCTAGGTGGTTTCTCTGGAGGCGCTTGAGGGACTTKATAGCTATGTGTTGGCCCAACTGCCTTGTTGCCAGATAAAGGATTATCTTTGATATTTACTTTACTATCTTTGGTCGTCTTGGCCGTCTTGGGAGGGTCAGATTTCTGGTTCTTGTTGACGTCTGATGGCCTCTGATCGTCCAATTCAGCACTGGCGTACATTCCATCATTATCGTCATCCTCTGTCGCTAAAGCAATCTTAGAATCTTTATYTTTTAGCGAGTCTTTTCCTGTAGGTGTTTTACTCATTTCGATGGTTTCTTTGGGCTTATCTTTCCCTTTCATGTCCAGCGCTTTCGAGTTCCTTTGATCGTTGTCGAGAAAGGCAGATTTCAGTTTTGAAACACTGGGTCTAGTGCTGTAGGCAGGCGAGTATGTTTTGTTCCCAAACCTCGACTCATAAATCGAGGGCTTTTTCGTTTCGCTTTCGATTGGCTTCCGAATAGTACTCAATGGCTTCTTCTTTTCTGGTGGATTGTCATTCAAATAATAATCATCTTCGTCTTCAACACATCCAGAATCCCCAGAGCTCTCCTTTTTTTCTTTTTCATAAGGTCTTGGATACCTTGACGAGAGACCAAACGGTCTTGGATTAGGTGGCCTTCGAAGACTACCAGACGTTGGCTCTGTTGTTTTCTTAGGCTCACTCACTTTAGTATCTACACTTGGTCTTTCGCGGTTAAGTGGTTTTGCTTCATTGGGTTCCTTTTTTTGAGCTGACTTAAGCGACGAGGTGGAACCACTGTTATTTTTTTCGCCTACGTCTGACAGCTTTGCTACACAATCCGAAGGAAATCGGCCAGTTTTTCCACTGTTTAAATTCTTACCGCATAACCATCCCTCGTCGTCCTTGTGAACATCGAAAATAATGTCTCCTTTCTCCACGCTGATGGTAGAGTCTTTGCCTGCGAAGCGTTTGTCTTTGTCATTTGGTGTGTAATCTCGTGTGACCTTTAGATATATACTCTCCATAAGGTTTCTGTCGAGCAAGAAAATTTTAATACGACGTGAGTTCAGTCGAGCGTGGCTGAAAAAAACAATTCGTAATACAATTAACGCGCGTGAAAAATAAATTCAAATTTCCTAAGGATTCATTTAAGAATTTGTAAATATTTACACTCTTCTAGACCATGTGACAACCACTTTAATATTGATTAAAAACACCTAGAAATTTAAACTCAAACTACATTTATAAACCAAGATATTTTGTAAAGGTTTCAACGTGAGCACAAAGCGTAATTTCTGTTTTTCCGGAAGCGCGAATATTTGCATATGATGTCAGGAAGTAAGAGAATTATTTCGCAATGATAAAAGTCATTTTGGAAATATCTGTGGTCTGGTGTCAGCAATATTCGTGTTTGGTTGCTGTAAGGAGTTGGAAAATACCTATAATCTATCTATMTATATATATATCTAGATTATATAAAATATATATAAATAATGAATATTTTTTATGCAAAACCATAATTATCATGAGGGCACTTTTGCTCTTTGGAATTTTTAGGACATTCATTTTGATAAATCGAAAATATTGGTATTTAAAAAATGGAATAAAAATTGTATGTCAAAAAGCCTTTACAAAATTTAATATCTTAATAAAAAATGATTGTTTTAAGAGAAAATCATTGAATACAACCATTTTGCCAGACAGTTTATGGAATCTGAATTTCAAATGAAGTACAATTTGAATTCACTCTTCTATCAATATTTACTTAAGAATGACACTTAGAAAGGGTTAAGCCAATTAGAGAATGAAATAAGCCAAATATTAATATTATGTCAGGATATAGAGAGAAAAACTTCAAAGTAAACTCCTCCCCTTATGACTTGATCAAAAGTCAAAATGATGTCATCTTTTTGTTGGTATTAATTTAATAAATTAATTTATTTTTCTTTAATATGTAACAGTTTGTTTCAAAACAAAATAATAGGCATTAACAAGAATTTTTGTGTACAACAATTGAAACAGAAACACGTAGATGTGTAGATTTAAATTAATGATCTTGAAAAACAAAAAAGATTAGAATAAAACTTAAAATATCAAATGATCAAAATCTAAAAATATATGTTTAGAAATATTAAAAAGTTGAGAAACTTGATCAATGATTTTATTCCTTTCCCTGGTTGCTAGGTTCTTGACAGTACAGTTATGGAATGAAGTGAATATATTTAAGCTTTGTGTGTGGTGAAGTAGGGGATTAGTCAAGCTCCATACTCTAATCTGACTGCTGTATATCAGTTCTAATTCAAAGGGCCAGGAGATTTGGCTAAACCACATGGCAGAACTAGGGGGTCAGGACCTCTTCCTCCTATGACTAAATCTCATTTTAAAACAGTATCTGGATATAACTAAATCTCATTTCACATTTTAGTATTGGACCCTGCTTGACCTTGCCTTACGTTTTTCATTATCTGGACACCCTACCCTACCCCCCTAAAAAACCTTGGATCTTCCTCTGTGTATGGTCATTTCAGTATCTGGACCCCCTACCCTACCCCCCTAAAAAACCTTGGATCCTCGTCTGTGTATGGTCACAAAATATTACTGTCACACCCCTTGTTCAGCAAAGAAAAAAAAACAAGCTTAAGAAGGAGCAAGCTTTTCAGCAGCTTTAAGATATTTACCTCCAGTTTTTAATGCCTCAGATATGTTGTTTTAATATTTAAAATTGAAATAAAAATTAAAAATTGAAAGACTTGTAAAAATGGTCTGACTAAAAATATAACCTTGGAAGGCATGAAAAAATAGAACATTTTGTTCTTATTTTTCAAATATTCTTAAAGGAGAAGCAATATTGCAAGGTAAAAACAGATTCTATCCATTTGTAATAGCATACTCTTGCGAACATGTGCTAAATGACGCCATGTGTAAGCCATATGTGTAATTATGTACTAATTGTAGTGTAAGATGTTGACCCTTAACATATTGACACATCTACCACAGGGTTTTTGGGAAAATTCTATATCTTGTGTCCTGGTTCTAGCTTTTGCAAAACTTAGCTCAGCAATAAAACATATACCAAYATTGACAGCTGTAGTTAGTAAGCATTTCCCTTGTATTATGTTGGAGTATTTAAATAAAAAAGATATTACAGTTTTGACTGACGTTTTAACACATCTTGCTTGGACGGCTTCAAATAATATAGCTAAAATTATTTGACTGTTTTCGATAAATATGATCAAAATATCACTTAATTTAAATCAAGATAGTAGCGAATAGTGAACAGTAATCGAATCCCAGAGATACACGCAGCTAATACATCAGTGTTATTACAGGTTACAAAAGTTTATGTAAATGAAGGGTATTGCTTTCCAACCAAAACGATCGAAGATAAGAGCAGTGCTCATATTTCTTTGGCTGAGACTCAGGATTCGAAATTCCGACACTCGTGTCATTAAAAAATAAACCAACATGGAACCACAATTCAAATAATACCAAATGCTGTTGAATGAAAAAGAACGCTTTGAATTTCTAAACAGGACAAATCAACCTGCCGGACAAAGGAAACCCGGTTGCGAGAAATGCAAAAATTTACTGAACAAGCTGGGATTATAAATCCGACATCAAAATTAAGTTTTTTTTAGTAAGTTTATGAAGAAGTCAAAATGAAAGTTTTGTACGGAAAATCAAATATAGAAATTGTAGTATAGCGACTTGGATCTTCATTAAACATGCAGAGTCTAGGAGTGTGTGTGAGTTGTCGTATACGGGTTTTCTTTATATCTTTACAATGTAATTGATCTCTCACGGTAAGAGAATTCTAAACCCTCGTGGAATTAGGATATATATTTTTCGATTAATTCTGAGGCGATCGAGTCATAAACCATCTGTCAAATTTTGAACGGCGCTTTGCATTGAGTCGGGACTTAAAGAAATTAAATGTAGTACATTACGACAACTTAGATGGCGATGGCAAATAAAATAATGAGAAACCCGAGATTCTATAGACTAAGGAATATAGAGTATATTAAAAGGAATGAGATAGACTTTTGGACTTAAAGAGTAACGAAGATTTTACGATTTTTCGACAAATATTTGTGCAAACGGGGAAGCGCGGCGTGTATTAAAGCGCGCCAAAACACGACCACTGAAGCRAAACACTCAACGTTGTTTTAAACCAACAGATTTCGATCAAAACCTTTWAAAATCGAACAAATACTCACACAAATAGTCCCCGATAGAAATAGGAAGGAAATATCAAAAAATACCTTGATCATGAAGCCAAAAACTCGTAATCTGTGTAGCGGTTGTCTTCACGCCCATAAGAAACAGCTGATGATGATACGAACACTGAGCCTGCAGTATCCCCTACCCTGCTGTATATAACACCTACTCATGCGTACTAACAGGAAGCCATCAAGATGCCCGTCAACATGGCGGCGGGTCTTTCAGTTAACATCTCAATTGAACAGCTTGTAGAGAGTGAAGTAGAGGAAATATCCCGCGATGGACAAGAGAAATACGTCCCGTAAGTATCTCTGCGCTTTCTTGTTCAATTTGGAAGAGATTGATGAAGTGTGTGGAATACTTTGTTGATTTCACATRTTGTTTACTCATTAGGTTTACCTGCCCCAGACAGACGTTTGGTTTTCTTTTGTCTTTCGCTTTTTGTTTTTCATATCTGGGTCGTTATCATTTTATCAGTGAAACAGGCTGGATAAATATTTAGTAGGGTGTCTGTCATCGCTGATTCACACCACTGGAGTATTTTTACCTTCTGACTGTTGTCAAGCTGGGTTTAAATATAAAGGAAGCTTTTTTACTGATTGATGCAATTATGTCGATACATGTACAAGAATTCTTCTCACGGATACTGAAATACTCTTGCTAATCCTTCCTTCTTGAAGTGAACTTTCAGAATCATAGAGAATTAAGATTCCAAGAATTTTTGCATATTCTAGTTTAACATCCCTTAGAGAAAGAAGGCCACTTCAAGCTACTAAAGTATTGCCGAAGCTAGCAAAAGCATGGTGTTTTAGTTTTAGTTTCCTCTTCTCTCCTCACAACCCCCACAACTACCTCAACACACACATGTATGTGCCAACACACACATGTAAGTGAAAATAAATAATCTTAGAAACCAAAARGATTTCTTTTGCTTCTGTGATTGTTGGTGAACGAGCAAAATTTTAGGGTCCCATATCCAAGCTAAAAAAATTAAAAATAAAAATAAAAACTCATTCCCCTCACATAAATAATAAATGGTTCCTTAAGTATATACTGTCKGTACTTACCTTCTAAATTATTCAACTTTATTTCTGTATTGTACAGTCAGCTTTCCATGTCAGAACAGCTTACCAAGTTGGCACACAAGATTGACTTCCTGTCTGAGGATAAACAGCAAAAGAGCACAGAAGATGATGAAGAGAAAGAGGATGAAAAAGAGTTGGTAACATTCCAGCCATCTTTATGGCCTTGGGACTCTGTTAGGACAAAATTAAGGTAATATAATTGTAACACAAAATAATAAATATGAAAAATAGAACAAAGAAAATTCCCAGAGAAAAACCTTCAAAGCAAAGGAGAGTCTTAATGCTCTTATGTGATGCTGAGTCCAGAAATTGGACCGGGGGAAAAAATATAAATAAATAAATAAATAAATAAATAAAATAATATAACAAAGAAAAAAAACTTGAATCAAAGGAGAGGCCTGGATCCAGGAATCCAGGAACCTGAGAAATGAGAGGTGAGCGTACTACTGCTATACCGTCCTTGATTCTCTAAATGGGAATRATAATTCATTGGTACTAGTCATGATAAATAAGCCTGTTACCATCAAACATTATTTTTCARCAGAAATGCACTGACTGAGGTGTGCGTGTTATCTGATGTTTTGAATGTTGTACAAGACAAGAAATACATGGTCCTAGACCCAGTATCACAGAACAAAGCTTCTCCTAAACCTGTGGTACAGCATTTGGCCAAAAGAAAGGTAATTACTGCAAGTTTTTACTACATAGAATGATGATGACATTTTTTTATGACAAAACACCTGTTGATTTTTATTCTTATAGTACACTCAACAAAATTACTCGACTCTGATTGGTCGAGAGGAGTACAATTATAGCGTTAATTGTACTCCGTAGGAGTACCGAATTAAGTCACTATGGCAACACGGCCAAAACAATGTCAAAACAATTATTTTCTATCATTTTGTACTTAAAAAGCATAAATTAAATTTTAAAGCCGTGAGAACTAATCTTTTTTATGCATTTCAGTTGAGCGATGGACTGGAAATTGGCCGCCAAATAGACAAAGATGAATGGCGTCGCTTCGCATTTTTTACTGAAATTTTGTTGAGTGAACTATAAACAAAAAATCACACGATCTTCTYGTACAATTTGGAATTAATAGGCACCTGTAATGTTTTGAAAGTTCTTTAATTGTACTCGCCTAAAGGCTYGTGCAATTACAAGAACTTTCAAAACATTACTCATGTCTATTAATTTCCAAATTGTACTCGAGATCGTGCAATTTCCTATACAAATTTTTATTTCCTCTCTCACAATTTCCCATAGAATCTGAGCATTGCCTCGAATATCATACTAAAGGGAGTAAAACGAATGGAAACTGCTGTACAAGAAAGAGTTGATCAACAGTTAAGACAAGGTCAAAAACAAGAAGATTTTCATTCAGAGCTGATTGGTCTGCGACAAAGATGGAGGTTGAAGAAAACGGGGACTAGTATCATGGGAGATTTGACTTATCGGTCAGGTACATTATTATATTTTATGAAGGAAGCACGTACTGGGAGTCATGAATTGCTGTGCCATGAAGTAACAATTGCCATATCACATTGTGTCATGGTGTTTCAACTTGTGTTGTCAGCACTGCTCCATTTAGTGCTGTACTGTCCCAATAGCGCAGTGCAACYGTGACGTCCTAAAAATGAAGACAAAGGCGAAATTTGGACAAACAAACTTACAAGTTTACTTTCAGCAGATAATTTTCGCAGCTGATCGCAGTTGATCTTAGTCTACATGGGTTATTATTGTTACTAATGCAATGTTTGTCCGAATCTTTAAGCTATTTTTAGAATCAGTGCACTGCACTATTGTCATATCATGACATGCTTTGCAATGCTGTTCCTAGCTTGCAGTACTTTTTCATGTTGTGCTGTACCGTGCCTTGCTGTACTTTGT